GCATAACGATTGGTTAATAATCAGCATTAAATAATAATTAATTAAACTTTAATTAATTTCAAACATATTGGTGGAGATATTAAAAATTACCTGAGCTAATAATTCCTACACAGGCAAGCAAGTGACCACGGATCCTGTTAAGGATGACCCTAGCAAGGACCTTACATGGCACTGAAAAGTGGAGCAGACAATCAACTCTAACCACCCCTCCACACTGAAGAACCATTCTACCATAAATGCATTAATAATCTTAACATTTTACAATATAACGAATCCCACGAACTTACTTAGCTGATGATAGTCTTCCAGACCAAAGCTCCATATTTTTGTTTCAGGGTCTGTCATAGTTACAGAAAACTGGACTGAAAAATACATTTTCACATAGGCCCCAACAACGTAATACTCTACAAACACTGTGGGCAAGAAATGTTTTCAAATAAACAGGTTTAACAACTGCAGCCACACCCACCGTAATTTCTAGATGGGATGCTTTTAAACAGCTCGATGAGCTTGGGGCTGTAGCCGATCTCCACCCTGAAGCGATAGCCACCGTGCAGCACGCATTTCCCCCTAACCAGGGACCCGGTGTTACGACCCGGTGTTCTGACCGGTCCAGCTTCCGCGGTCCCGTCGTTACGGCATGGTTCGGCTCTGGTGTGTGTCATCTGGGAATTGGCGTCTCTGCTTAAAAACCCCTCTCCCTGCAGCGATGGACGGTCAGTCACGTTCACCTAAGTTGAAGCAAGGCAGGATATGCTTAATTATATTAAATAAATACATAAAATAAACAGGACACTGCACCGTGCATAACTAAAAATAAAGCTCGTTTACAGCCATACGTATTTATACCCGGACCCAGAGCGGGTGCTTTTTCCCGGACTTCGTAGGGACCCTTCCTGTGTCCGCATCACATCTCGACTTGGGGGATCAGTGGCCTGTACTACGAAGCGGGGTTACTGGCTTAACGGGGTAACTTGTCAGATTTAAGGTAGTCTGGGCAAAATGTAAATGAACGAATATGAGGTCCATTTAAACGGTGCTACCTTAAATCCGACAAGTTACCCCGATAAGCCAGTAACCCCGCTTCGTAGTACAGAGTCCAGTGTTGGACAGTTGTAGGGATTAATGGTTGATTGTAGTGCTGAACTGTTTTAAGTAAATGACTAACCCCCGAGGATGTTACAGTGGACGCCCTGCGCTGAGGACGGGCCAACGACCTATCACGGCCAAGCCGCTGGGCTCCTTGTCTCTCAGGGGTGAGGGTAAAATGCGGACTGTTTACAAACAATGGACTCCGTGTTTATAAACAGACGTGTCGCAAATGACGCACGCCGCGTAGACAGACCACGTGTCATAGAAAGAAACCCATACGACGTTAACTAATCACGGGGTGCGTTCGAGGTGTGTCTATGGAAGGCCATTTGGGGCATAACGTCTACTTTGACGTCCGTGTTAACACGGCATATTTTGACGTACATTATGTACGTGTTAAGACGTTCAGACGTCTTAACACGGCCAATTTGAACGTCTTAAGACGTTTAAAAATTGGGTGCTACCACTTTATCGGTTTTTGAGGGGAAGCCTGACGTCAGGTAGCTGATTGACTGTTACTGCCCAATCAGTTCCATGTTTTTCAAGTGCGCAATCGCAGGCGTTTAAATAGCGGATCCTGCAACAAAACTAATGTATCACTACTACAGTTCTTTTTTTAAATTAGATTTGTTTATAATAAGTGGAAAAAATAAACAATGCAATCACAGAATAATTATTTTGCATTTTAAAATAGTTTAATACTGCAGCACAGGAAATTGAAAAGGGGGCGTAAGTCTGCTTTAATTAGAAAAAGAGGGGAGCCGACTTGTTTGCAAACAAAGAATTAATACAGAAAGTGGAAAATTACTGAAATGGGAGGCAACCTCTGAAACATAGTATAAAAGTGTGCTTAGCGGAAGAAAACTTTGAACTTGCCTCGAACTCGCCTGCTTGAGCTGTGAGCTGAGAGGTTGGTTCCCAGATCGATCTGTACCATGGCATTAATAAAATATCATTTATTGTTTGTACCACGTCTCCAGAAGTGTGATCCTTTCTCATCAACGGACCCGTGGAGCAGGTGGCTCCAACAGAATACAATTTTGACTAAGAGAAAAGCAATTGTTAATATCTATAATGTAATTACGGATAGTAGTGTGACTTGATTAAATGTTAAAACGGATTGCCATACAAAAGGGCCTATTAGAGCTCATGACGAATTTTGATTGGTTTGGGTCAGCAAATAAAATGCAAGGCGGTTCATCCTTTTGGCGCCGAAACCTTTTGTCCTGCTCCTCAAGCACGCTCAAAATGAATAGGCAAGAGAGACTGCAGAATTTGGCTGCTAGATTTCAGCAGTTAGTATATCAGCAGACCTCTAGCGAAAATCCTTCCAGTTCTGTGAGTCTCATCGACAGGCAAGTGAAAATTAGACTTCTCAGGGGGCACGTGGAAAAAAAATTAATTAGACGTAAAAGGAATACATGTATGCGGAATATACGTGTTGTGTTTTATATAAATTTTGCACTTTTTAAAATACCAACATCGCCCTGTGCTTAGCAGACATCAGACAGAAATATTTAATTGTATGTTTTAAAACAGAAAAAAAAAGATGCACATGAAATGTACATGATGGCGTAAACACCAGTGTTAAAACCGCTAACACCAGTTAGGCACGTTAAATCCAGGGGGGAAACCGTCAGTAGATCGAACAAAAATCAAACGGTCACTTAAGTACAAAACTCAATTAGACCGCCTTTCAACGCGGATAGCCTGAAACCCTTTGTTTTCTCCCGACGGGATCCTCGCTGTGCGCGGGCTTTAGCTAAGGAGTGGTTTTATGATAATGCCTGAGAAAAAAAACACAATACAAGGTCATTAACATATTCAATTATGTCTATATAATGAGTGAGAGGGGAATAAAAGCAGAAAAGAGGACATTCTGAGTTGCTACTTACCTGAAATTAATTATTTGAGCTTTACCTAAGGTTAGGATCCATTAAATGTGGAGCCAATTTCTAGCCCAGGAGATTCATGTCCATGACCAGCCCACTTTTTTTCAGGAAAGTGTAAACTGGATAAATGAGGCAATATGTCACTTATTATTCAATGGTTGTATTTGATTTTTTAAAATATGAAGAAACACAAGTCAAATGAATAAATGAAATAATATCAAAATTAATTTCGCAGTTCTTCACATGTGAGGCATGTTGCACTACTATACAATTTTTTTACCTGTAAATGGCTTAACAATAACATATCTATAACAGTAGTCATCTATAACGGTAACAGCTGCCTGAGTAGTGTACTGGTCTCTGCAACTTTTATTACTGTCTCATTATCTATCAACATGAGGATTTCCTTCTCTGTGCACAAAGGCCTCCAAGTGCTCCTGAGTCAGTGAGCTTCGTAACCTGTTATTTTATTTCCGACTGGCCCAAAAGTCAAGCGGCCCACCGGGAAATCTCCCAAATAAATTGAGAATTTAAAAACGCTAATACAATAATTATCATTCAGAACATTCATTGAAAAGCCTCTATCAGGCACCATGTGAAAACTCACTATACTGTCTATATTTCACATTTGCTAACATAAGTTATTCTGCCGATCTGTTGTGCTTGTTTTTCATAAAGACTTAGGATGTTTAGGAGAGGTCAGGAGCTCAGGAGGACTGTACGAGTCAGACAGCGGCTAACCACAATACGACTGGCTATTCTGCCAAATAGCAGAGACACTATATTTATACCAAGGGGTAAGTTGGTAGAGCAGGCTAAGATAGGGGCAAAGATTGCTTATAACTCCTGCTGATTTAACCTTTATATAGAGATGCTTAACCAAGACAAATGAAATCAACTGGGATTTAAGATAATTCTCTAACAATCTAGGGTAGCCGGTTTAATAATAGTAAGAGTAACCAAATGGTGTGGCTTTCAGTAACTGAGTTGTTTTATTTGTTAAATTATGGCAAGGAAACCCTATCATCCAATTACATTTTGTGGTTTTCATTTTTCCACAACAGCAGGGTCATCAGTAAAGAAAATTGTGGTGCCACTCTCCATGCCAGAGAGTGCATTCATTGAAAAAATAAGAGAAGAATTCCCTAGTTTACAGGGTGACTTCTGCCTTTGCAGAGTTGACAGATGGAGGAGAATCCACCAACTGGATCTCTCCTCTATCTGTCCCTCTTCTATAAAAGCATGTCCTGTGCTGAGAAGATCAGCTGTGTACATCAGACCAAAGGTATGTTACTGTCAATTGAATCAACTTCCAATGCCTTTCAAATTTCACATAGGCCATAACAATAAAATTTGTGGGGGAAAAAGTAAATTCGACATACACAAAGGTTAATTGCAATATTTCTTTGAATTACCTTTATTGCAGTGGTATGAATAAGAACTTAAAAATATATTATTGATTCATTGTCAATTTCATAGGACAATGGGGAAGAGGAGTTCAGAAATGTGCATGACAGGGATATGTTGGAGGAACAAAACAGTTCTGAGGAAGAGGAAGAACAAAACCTGTTTGAGGAGGAGGAGGAGGTATAAGATGGGTCTTTCATTGGTATCCTTATATCAAAAAGGCTGTCAGTAAACTCTTAGGCAGTTTATTACTAATTTTTATTTTTTACCTATATAACCATTTATTTCTTTATTCATTAATTTGTTTGTTATCATGTATTAGCAAATAATTTATATTACTACTGTACTGTATTGTCTGTGTGTCATTTTCTAGTTAGGAATCTATTTAGATCCTCCTTTTGTGAATGGCTGTAGTACTTTAAGAATGGCTTCTGTAATTTCAGGACACACTTCCAGAGCAAGCTATTGAACAAGCCGGCTTGCCGGAATGGCATGCCCTTCGCAGCCAGCAGGATGAAGAATATCAACGTTCACTTTCAATAGATAGAGAAAGGGTAAGAAAATGCAGACATTTTCATATGGGCAAGTCCTTCTACATAAGCAATATCATTTCTCTTTTAAATTCTCTTTCAAGCTCGTTCTTCTGTTCAATTGAATGTCACTTAAAATAAAGTTTCATATGACATCAGGAGAGAAGACGAAGGCAGGTCCAGGAGCGGGAGCTGAGAAGAGTACAGGTAAGTCATTTATAGTGTGTAAAATATACACTCTACATTGACATTTATCACAAAAGATACAGTATATTATGTTTTGTAGGTCATAAATACCAGAAAAGAAAAAATCAATCGCATACCAGAGGCTGAAAATGGGATGACCATTCAATTTAAATTTCCTGATGGTGCCTTAAAAAGGAGACGCTTTCTATCTTGTCAACCATTCCAAGTAAATTTCGCTAACCCCACTTATTCTTCTACTCAGTGTTTAGAGCAAGTTAGATAATAGAAATAAATAAATTGATGTACATTTCCCTTTACAGGATCTAGTTGCCTTTGCAGGCTGTGATGAAATGGCCAGTGAAATATTTTCACTTCAGATGGCCATGTCACCGACCTCACTTCTAAGCACCAAGGAAGGTTCCATAGCAGACAATGGCATTACTGCACCATGTACCTTGTACATTTTGTGGATGTCAGGGGATGAAGTGGAGGTGAGAGCCTTTAGTGTTTGTTAGCACTGTTTTATGAGGGGATCAATGATGAAGTGATATGGCAGAAATGTGCATTTTGACCCAAGAAACAAATGTTCCTTGAGAAACGCTTTAAACCACTGGAAAATTAGCTTGCATAAGTCCTAAAAGTGCTTTATGTTTGGCTAGGCTATGTGCATACTAATTTTATTTATGAATTCATTTTAGGATATAACATCAAACTCCTCCACAGCTCAGAATCAAATGCCAGCTGCTCCACCTACTGCAGTCTCCACCTTTCCCCCTGCTCCGTCTCCACCAAACAGTGTCTCCACCTTCTCGCCTGCTCCGTCTCCTCCCATCACAATCCCCACTGTTCACCCTCCTTCCTCTCCGAGACACAGTCCCGTATATATTTCCTCCACTGCCTCAAGCCTCAAACCCTGAAGAGTACGTACCTGTACATATTTTTGAATAGACCATTGTTATATTGGGGCAAATGTTTTACTGTACAAATACTAAAATACTACTTTAGTATAGTCAGTAAACAAATTATGGTCTACATTAAAATGTGTAGTAAACTGACATTGCAGACATGAATTTTGTGTTTGTGCATGCCAAATAAAGAAACACTGCTCTCTAATCTCCCTCTCTTAATACAGGCCTTTTGACATTGCTGCAAGACTTAAGACTCTGAAGTCAAGGGTCCATCATCTCACTCCACCAGCCAATCAGATAAATGTTCTTCGTAATGAAGAATTTGACTGTGCTTTGAGAGCCTTCAGACGACCAGCCTTTGATCCAGAGTCAAAATTAGACATCATTTTTATTGATGAAGATGGTCAGGGAGAAGGGGCCATATATGAAGGTGGACCTACCAGGGAGTTTTGCAGACTTCTAATGAGACAGCTCCAAGGACACCAGATATTTGAAGGGCCCCTAGAAGCACGTAACCTGGCCCTTGACAGTGTTGGTATGTTTGTATACAAACATAGGAGTGAATCCCAGAATCACACAAATCAAGATCTAATGTCCATGCTGAGTTGCTTTATGATATGAACATTAAGTGAATAGCTTGACCTGAATCTGCATGATTTACTGCAGTGTACTGCTTCCTCATGTCTGGCTGAATAGACAACAGAAATCCGCAAGTGTACATGTGTTCCTAATAAAGAGCTCAGAGATCATGTTTTAACATTATTATGCTTAATTACCCAATGTCTCTTTTTGTTTGTAGCCCTTCACAACAACACCTACAGAATTGTAGGGCAAATGTTAGCTGTTTGCCTGATCCAGGGGGGAGTGTCCCCTCACTTTTTTTCACAAAGGCTTGTCAACCAACTCCTAAGTCTTCCATCTGCCCCAGCAACCATTGAAGAAGTGGTAGACCATGGTCTAAGGACTAAACTGGAGAAGGCAAGTTTCATGACACACTGCAAACATGTACTTACCTTTCATGGTCTTTTGTTTACTTACCTTTTGTAAATAATAAAATGTCCAAAAGTCTTTGTCATGAAACAGTGGTTCAATGAAGTACATTTACCTTTACCTCGTTTGCTAACTACAAAGCACCTAATGTTATTAACCCATTAAGTTACATTTACTCATAATCACAGGAAAGTCCTGTAAATCATTTTAAAGTATTTGATATAGTTTGAGATATTACATCAGACAAAAAAGTAATGTTTTTACTCATTATTTTGCGTTTAGTTTGCCAGGTGTTTCTGTTTGTATAATTTCAGATAAGCAGTGCAGAGACGCTTGAGGATGCCAGACAGGCTGTTAATGAAGCAGCGGATGAGTTGGCTCTGATGGGAGCTCTGAGGCACCTTCAGTCTTTGGATGACAGTAAGCAGCTGATGGAGGCTGTGCTCCATTTTTACTGTGAGGGGCGAATACAAGCAGCCATCCAACAGTAAGTCTGTATTTCAAGCAGAAAACTTGCCCTTATTTGAAACTACCTACACTTCTCGTACTTGGTTGCACTTTTGTTACCCATTGTCCTGAATTTTAACAGCATGTTCCGAAGTACATACCGTATGTAGTATTAGTAATACTACAGTTACAATTAACTTTTTTTCTGGTGTCAGACTCAGAGAAGGACTGAGTACGCTTGGGGTCCTGGAGGAAATCACCTTACACCCTCAAGCTTTTGAGAAAATCTTCCTCCAGGACACATCATCCCTGAAGGCCAGTGATCTTGTGGGGCTTTTTCAAGCCAGATGTAGGTCATTGCCAGGATCTAATCGGAGGAGGTTGGAAGCCAGGACCATTGCCTTTTGGAAGGATTGGCTCCTGGATATAGAAGGTAAGTCTCCCTGTGCCATGTTTAAAAATATCAGTATACTTTATTAATTAAATGGAACAGCCCTTTTGGTTTTCTTTCATACCTTTTTTTCTATTTCTTTTCAGGGGGACTTGCCCATCCAATCACGCTGGAACATGTGTTAATTTTTGCAACAGGCCTCAGACGACTCCCGGCAATGGGTTTTGAGGTGCAGCCAGAGTTAGCATTTTTGCATGCAGAGGATGGACTGGCCAGGTTCCCAAAGGCAAACACATGTTCTCTGGTGCTCTACCTGCCAGTGGGCCAAACATACAATGAATTTAAAAATAACATGGATCTTGCAGTAGGCTGTGCTCATCAATTTGGGGAGGGATGAGTTTTCGAATTTAAGCACTAAGGGAGCTAAATTCAGAATTTAGGAAGGTGTTTTAGAAGTTTTTGGAGTTGGGTTTATTAAATGTTCTTAATTGTTGAAAATGCTTTTACAGAATCACCAGACAAGCAGTTGTATTTGGCCTTTTCTGTTTATTAAACTTTCATTTTAAAAAACACATTGGCACTGTCATAAGATCCCAGATGTTTATGTGTGTGGTACTTGAGAGAGGAAGTTGAGAACCTGTTCAAAAATATCAGTGCCCAACCTGTCCGTAGCTCCACCAAAAGGATTTATGTGTTGCCTGAGGTGTTGCAACTGTTCATCAGTGGGTGTAAACTGGCTGTAGGGAACCTGGACTTTTTGAGGCCATTCAAAATCAGGTGCTCTAGCCTCCTGGTCAGCTGCCGCAGCCACTCCCAAACCTCCTGGTGCTGCTGTTTCATGGTCCTGTGCTGCAATCACTACCCGATCTTCCCCTGAAACCGGCTGCTCATCCACTCCAAATACACCTTGGACACCAGTGTGATGCACCTGCTGTGACAGGCAACCTTGCACAAAAATCTGATTTGGTGACATGTATCTGGCAGTTCTCATTCGGTGGTGGTTCCATTGATTTGCAAACAAGTTGAGGTCACGATTTATCCGAGGCAGGTATACAAAGTGAAGAGCCCAGAGGTGCATTTCGCTACTACAGTTCATTATACCTTCATTCTCCAGATATGTGAACAATGAATGGTAGATAGGCCTGTCGCGATAGTCGATAAATCGATTAATCGCACGATAAAAAAAAATGCCCTCGATAATTTTTCCAGCCGCGATAATTTCATTTGCATACTTGTTTGTTATCCGCGACTGAATGACAACTCTCGTTTCCTTAGCGTAGGACAGCGGTTCCCAAACTAGGGTAGGCGTACCCCCTGGGGTAAGCAAGAGGCTGTAGGGGGTACGCGAGCGGGGGGAATCACGAATTCGAACAACGAGACAGTCAGTAATTCTCACAACAGCGGAGTCGCTGTCCTCCAAAAAAGCCGTAAAACACAAAATACAGTCGTGTTTATGTCATATGTTTTTGTGCTTATTAAATTTAAGTGTTCCCA